AATATACAAAACCATGTTCGATTTTAGTTCTTTACTAAAATCTTGATGAATAAATATATCATCAATTTCATCGCTTAAATCCTCGATTGGTATGACTGTTGGTGGACTAGAAGCATCGTACGGATACTTCTTGCGGATCACATATAGATCCATCGTTATGGGTGCTGCAACGATTTCGCCCGAAGAACGATGTCATGCAAGAAACGACAGTCGTTGATCGAGTGCCTCTGCCATCCATGGCCATGATACCAATTCAAAAAATCGTTCAGGTGATATTTTATCGAATATAGTTAAACGATTCCTTGAAGTGAATTCTTCGGCTATGAGTCGAGCACACAGATGTGCATCATTTTCATTATTGATTATTTCATACGTGTATTCGTCGACATTAGTCACGTTGTTGTCGTTCGAGATCGAAAAGAGAAAATGCTTGCTTTTTTTTCTTCTCATTCTGTATTCTTATCTTTTTATCAAATATTTTCTCTAGTATTTTTTATGATGTATGCAGATTCGATTTTATATAGGTAAAAATCTTTGTAAATGACATGAATTGAAATTCTAAGTCAAAAAGTAGCAATTAAGGTAATATTTCGTTAAAACTGTATACTAGTGAGATAAATAAAACTTGTTATAGTTGAACCAAACCGAAACCGATAAAAAGAGATAATCTAATGTGCTTGGAACTACTTGTGCATGAAATGACGAACTATATTTAATTGAAAAATATGTGCGATATCAGAGGATTCACAATTCAAAAATGAAGTAGTTATTTTACCTAGCTAATCAGGACTATAACATATAAGAGTTGTACTATTGCAAGTACTATAGATACTTGAAAATGTACGAATAACATAGAGATAGAGTAATTTAAGTATTGAGGTTAGATGTGGCACAATAACTTCAATAATTCGAATTATTGTTTCTTTCTTTCTTCTTATACTATGAGCACTTCCAGGACCTTGTGAAATTTGATTTAGAAAATAAATATAGTTCTCCATAGTGATCATCACGTGCCATTTTGGAGAATCTATTCGAGGACAATCGATTCCATCCCTCATGAGTTTTTCAGGATGATATTCACTTTATCCTTCAGTTCCAATGTGGGTGTGAGTGGTTGTGATTGTAGATCAGGAGAAGAACAGTACTCTCACACACATCCACACATCCCCAACCACAGCCGCACCCATACCAACATCCCCACACACACACGCACCCGTACCCACAACCACAGCCGCACCCATACCAACATCCCCCCACACACACCCGTACCCACAACCACAGCCGCACCCACACCAACATCCACACACACCCACACTCATACCCACACTTACACTCACACCCACACCCACACCCACACCCCACACCCCACACCTACACCCACCCACACTCCCATCCATAGCCACACCCAGATCCATACCCACACCCACACCCCACACCCACCCACACTCCCATCCATAGCCACACCCAGATCCATACCCACACCCACACCCACACTCACACCCACACCCCACACCCACCCACACCCACCCACACCCACACCCCACACCCACCCCACCCACACCCACACCCACACCCCACCCTACCCACACCTATATCCACTCACACCCCAAACACACACACCTACCCACACCCCACCTAATGTGTGGTTCTATTATAGCTCTCTGGAGCGTCTGTATTCTATAAAATATATACGTTTGTCATTAAATTAACACAAAATAAAATAAAATGTTGGTAACTGCCGATTGTCAATTACAATTCATGTATTAGTCGTTGGAAGCTGCTCACAACAAATAACAACTTACTGCGTCGGTATGTCAATAAAAAGCATTAACGCACTAAATATGCGTAGAGGCAATTAAGAATGAATTCACTAGTTGCTTTTTAAGATGAAAGGAAAGAGAAAAAAAATGCGTATAAAAAATGAAAAATAAGCGAAAACAGAAAATAAGCAGTTCGAAGGTTTGTCAACAGTGATTCTCTTTCATCATGGCAGCGGTCGATTCTGCGACTAGTAGTTTTCAAAATCAGCAAAATAATGAGCAAGCAATACGTTTGATTTTACTTGGTATGACAGGAGGTGGTATGCATCATTCTTTGATCCTTTCTTGTTTGAAATGTCAGACACAATTTTAATATTAAATATCTAACTATTCACCAAACGTTTGAGAAAATTTCTAAATACGCTGAAAACATTTGACATTAAAATCATTATTACGATCTTTTCTTGAGAATCTTTGTATTAAATATTTGAAAAGAAACTTATGGCAAGGAAGGTTTTTTCTTCTCTCAACCAGAAGTTTAAATTTCAAGACTTATACCTTCTATTGCTTTTTTAAAAAGATATATTTTTAAAAAGTCTCTAAATTACTTTTAGGTAAAAGTTCTTTGGGCAATACATTACTTAATTTCAAACTATTCAAAGCAAAAGCATCGCCCACTTCTGTCACCAAGAATTGTCAAGTTGGTTATCGAAATTTTAACAATCGACACCTTGTTATTGTTGATACTCCGGGATTCTTTGATAATCATGCTAATGCTAAAGAGAATTATAATGATAGTGGTAGTGATAATGATAATGATAATGATAATGATAGTGATAGTAATAATGATAATGATAGTGATAGTGATAGTGATAATGATAATGATACTGATAATGATAATGATACTGATAATCATAATCATAATCATAGTGATAATGATGAAAAAACATGTATTAAAATTGGCCAATCACTTCAAACAACAGTCCCAGGTCCACATGCATTTCTTATTGTACTTTCACTTAGTGCAGGAGGACGAGTGACAAAAGAAGTTAAAAGAGGATATAAATGGATAACGAAGATATTCGGTGATCGTGTATTAAACTATTGTATTATTATCTTTACTGGTTTAGATAATCTTAATGAAGATGGACAAACAGTGAAACAATATTTAGCAAAATGTAAACCACCTTTAGCTAAATTAATGGAAAAATGTGGTGAGCGATACGTGGCTTTCAATAATCGGGCTTCGCTAGAAGAGAAAAATAATAAAATTCAAGAATTATTAGATTTAATTGACCGCGTTATACAAAATAATGGTAATCAAGTGTTCACGAATAAAGAAATTGAAGCAATTAGCAAAGTTGTACAAGAAGAAAGCGAGAGGAGTGGGTTTAATCCAAATCTTCCAGATGGAAGCATTATTCTACTACCACAAACAGAGAAGATTGTTGTCGAGGCTTATATGCGCAAACCTGTTCTTCGAAGAGACATGCATACGTCGTGATCTTTTTCTTTTAAAATGTTTTTATTCTGATTTTGAACTTTATGATAACGATTGCATTGTAGAAAGTAGAATTATTCATTCTTTCTCTGCACTGCTAATATGGGTTTAATTTTATTTTAGATTATAACAAACCATACTAAATAAAACATAAATGAATATTTTATGGCTACATGACAATATCAATGATCATAAAGAACTTGGTAAACAATTAAACAATTTTGAAAAGCCGATTATAAATTTTACTGATGATCGCTCATGTATAGCTTTTCTAAAAACTTCTAAGCAGGAAAACAATGATCGACCATCGGTTCTTATTGTTCTCAATAGAATAGGTCGTCAAATAGTGCCTGAAATACATTCGTATACAACTTTATTGTTCATTGCTATTTTTTGTACAAAAAATGATAACAAAATAAAATGGGCGAGCAAATACAATAAAGTAGATATTCATTATATTTATATTTGTGCAGCTAAACTTTAGTAATTTTTTCACATAGATCAGAGGCATTTTCATAGATCCAAAAGAACTTACAACATATGTTCGACAAGTGATCCAAATGTCGGGTCTTGTAAGATGATAACAACTGTCAACATTAACTTTATGATTTTTTTAGGTTAAATCGTTTTCATGTCAGTTAGTGTTACTCGATGATCATCCTAATGAGATAATTCAACAGCAACTTTACCGACTTGATTCATCATTAATCATAATTAAACGAATCCATTCGTGTCTTAGCCATTTCCGATCTGTTACATATAAACGGCCATTGATATTAATTTCTACAAATGCCTTAGGACGACAAATTGTGCCTGAAATACATTCTGATAATCAGTTAAAGGCAATCTTTATTTATTATGTTAAAAATGACACAAAAATTAGATGGACTACTAAATACGATAAAGTAGGGAAGTTGGAAAGGGACTTCAAACACAATTGAATGAAAACATTTTTTAGATTAAACTAGTAACAACAAACATAATTGACTTGATAAATGGTATAAGAAACGAAGGTTTATACTATAGCGCTGTACGTATCATTGTGTGACTGTGCTTAAAAAAAACTGTAATCATTATTTTTAAGTTACTTTGGCATCTTGTTTGTCTCGACGATCATAGCGATGAGGTGCTTCGACATCATCTCTATGAACTTGATCCTTGTATAAGAACATTCGATCGATTCGATATATGTCAAAAATATCTTGATTCAATTAGTCAACGTACCATTGCTACGAAACCGGTTCTATTTGTTGCTATTAATAGAATGGGGCGACAATTTATACCTGAAATTCATTCAAATGATCGACTTAAAGCTTTTTATATTTTTATTTCTTCAGATTCAACTAGCGATCGAAAAACCAAATGGACTACAAAATATAACAAGGTAAGACTGTATTACATATAGTTCGTTTCAATTTTAACTTAATTACTGTGTAGATAAAACGTGTATGCGCCGATATCAATCAATTAATCACATATATTAAACAAGATGCTGCTGTTCTTACACATAACATCATTCGAAGTATGTCAATTATCATTCACTTTCTTTCAGAAATATATTGAATATTTACTATGATTGAAAGTTTATTTGACTTTAATTTGGGTTCCAATAATTGCTCCTGTTTATCGTTTAGATTATAAAGATATTCATAATGTTTCGCCGTCTTCAACAAAACCTGGTAATTATATATATATTCATTGATCCTTAATTCTAAAAACGAAACTAAATTGAGAAAATTTCATTTGAATATAAAAAAGTTAATTGGATCTCTAAATATATATTAAAATTGATTTGTTCTTACCTTTCCAATTTTTTTTCAGCAAGACAACGAAATAATCAAGATTATATAGTCTGCTGGCTCGATTTGAATATTGATGAGACAAACAATGATTATCAATATTCTCTTTCCCTACTACATCAAATCGTGGATACTATTCACACATTTACTAGTGCGGATGATTGTGTAGATTATTTTACCGATTTAACGGATGAAAAAATATTCCTTATTGTTTCTGGTGCTTTTGGCCAACATATCGTACCATTAATTCATGAAATACCGCAAATTAAATCAATCTATGTATTTTGTGGTGTAAATAAATCGAATTATGAAGCATGGGCTAAAGAGTATGGAAAAATAAAAGGTGTCTTCACTCAAATTGTATCCATTTGTGATATACTTGAGCAAGATGTTCATCAATCAAATCATGATTTAATAGCAATTAGTTTTGTCCCATCATCTGACTCGTTCATTAATGTCAAATTAGATCAACTGGATCCGTCATTTATGTATACAAAGCTACTCAAAGAAATTCTTCTCGACATGAAGTATGATGAAACAGCAAAGAGAGAATTCGTTAACTATTGTCGAGAACAGTTCGTTGGTAACGTTCGTCAATTACGAGAAATTGATGAATTTGAACGAGAATATAATGACCACTCATCCATTTGGTGGTACACACACGGAATTGGCTTGTATCGTATGTTGAACAAAGCTTTGAGAACGTTAGACATTGAATTTATCGTAAAAATTGGTTTTTTCATTTGCGATCTACATCGACATATTGAACAACTTCATGCCAAAGAATTCAGTAGTCACTCGGTGCAACCATTTGTTGTTTATCGTGGTCAAGGTTTGTCCAAGACAGACTTTGACAAATTGAAGAAAGCTGAAGGTGGTCTTATGTCGTTCAATAATTTCTTATCTACAAGTACGGTCAGAGATGTCTCTTTCTCTTTTGCTGAATCCAACGCAAGCATTCCTGATCTAGTCGGTATTCTCTTTGAAATGACAATCAATCCATTGATTTCATCAACTCCATTTGCCTTAATAAATGACCACAGTTACTTCGAATCAGAAGATGAAGTTCTTTTCTCAATGCATACTGTATTTCGAATTGGTGAGACAAGAAGTATAGATAGAGAAAACAGACTGTGGCAGGTACATCTTACTTTGACCAGTGATAATGATCGACAACTACAAGTGCTTACAGAGCATATACGTCGAAACATCGAAAGTGGGACAGGATTTCAACGATTGGGCGCTCTTATGCTTGAAATGGGACAATATGATAGGGCTCTGGAAGTGTATGAAACATTGCTCAATGCGACACATTCGAATGAAGATCGACAAGAAATCTCGTCACTGCACAATCAATTAGGAGCAATTTATAGTCGAAAAGGAAACCTTGGCGAAGCTCTTGCTCATTATGAAAAATCACTGGAAATAAAACTTACTTATTTGTCTCCTAACGATCCTTCTCTTTCTTCTATTTATAGCAATATTGGTAGTGTTTTGCGAAATCAAAATCAATTAAACGAAGCGTTAGAATACATGGAGCGAGCTCTTAACATCGAACTTCTAGCTCCACAACCCAATTCACTTAAAATTGCTTCTTATCATAACAATATTGGTCTCGTACTGACTGATCTGAACAATTTCAATAATGCATTAATACATTATGAACAAGCGTTCGAAATTCAACAGAAATACTTGCCACCAAATCATCCTGATCTTGCTACATCATATAATAATATCGGCGCTATTTATAATGAACTTCAAGACTATAGCAAAGCTTTATCTTTTTACGAAAAATCTCTTGATATAATGCAACAATCGCTGCCACCCAACCATCCTGATCTTGCCGTGCCATACAATAATCTTGCCTCTATTTACAATGAACTTCAAGAATACAGTAAAGCTTTGTTATATCATGAAAAGTCTATGCAAATCATGCAAAAATCATTTCCACCCAATCATCTATCTTTAGCTTTCGGTTACCATAATTTGGCATTAACATTTTATCGTTTACATTTGTATGAAATCGCGCTAGAGTATGGTGAAAAAGCGATAGAAATATATTATCGTGCATTGGAACCTAATGATCCACAAGTGATAACTTGTCAAGAGACTCTGAATGCAATTCGTGAAAAATTATAAAAAAGATATATTTTAACAATAAGAATTTATTATTCACAATGCACTTTCTTTGTATTATTACATCTATCGTTTGTATGTTTCAGATCTTTTAGCTATCTCTTCATAGAAATTCATTAACAACACAACAGACATAACGATCGACTACTACAACACCTTCACTTAATCCATTTTCTCTACTGGCCATCGTATCTTGTTAAAAATCCAGTAACTGAACTGTTAGAGTATGTTATTAATGACTAAGGTTATAATCAGCTGTTTCTTTATTCTTCGTGACTATTTGGTGTAAGTGCATATTAGAGCATAGAAGCAAAGAAAGTTTCGAAAGTGCTTTTGATAATTGTCGAAGAAACGATACCACGAGCAAGATCGAGTTCTTATCCAAAAGCTTCAAGGCGGAAACTACACAAGAAGAGAGAAATTATTTTGACTAACAGGATGTGTTGAAAATGAGATAGAGAATATATTATCGAGATCCTATCCAAGCAGACTTTGAAAAGCATACGATAAGCGCAACGAGCGATCAAAAATTTGAAATTATATTTTTGTTCGTTCTGTTCCAGTTTTGGAAGCTCTCCATAGCCATCGAATTCCATATGTCGGGAAATTCGAGTTTGCGGCAAATTCAGATTTTTTAAAAGAACATCAACTTGTAACAAATCGGAGGTATAGAGTTATTTTGGGGTGAGGGCAAAGCCCTTTGAGGAAGTGGAAGAATGAGGGTAAAGGGAAACCCTTGACTAGAGGCTAGTACCTTTATCCTTATACCTCTATACTTCTACGGATGTTCTCTAAAGAGTCCTCTGATTTCGGTCTTGTTACAAGTTCAAATTCTCCATCAACTCATCGAATTTCGAGGACTCGGACACTGTATCCCATTCAACATTCATTTTCGATCCTTTGAACACATTTCTACACCTCAAAACTCACCGAAGTTTCAAGTGCTTGGATAGCAGAAATCTATCCAAAGAATACTGCTAACTTGTCCGATACATTTCAACTACTCCGAATCCATTGAGGTTCCGACCATTTGAGGTAAAGGAACATATCAGCGGGATACATTCGAGGACTCGGTAGAAACAAACCTATCACATGAATTGTTTTGACTGCTTGGTCTAATTTTGATTACGTGAAACTTCTTCAAAACTTCATTTTTAGATATCCTTTACTTTTATTCAATGATCTTAGCAGAATTATTTATGTCCGATATATACTTCGCTTTAATTCAATGATTTTCTGAACAGTATTTATCATCCACTGATTCAAAACATAAAACAAATCCATCCGTGCTCTTGACGAAGATATGCTCATATTGAATTATTACTGTTAAAAAATGTTTTTCTAAATCTTAAAAAAGTAGAAACAAAAGTTAAAAAAATGTACACAACTATCAAAGTATTATCTTTCTATGAATTAAAAAGATGATTTTCATAGAAGAATAATAGTTCATATGTAGTTTACATGCTCAATGAAAGTTAATTGTTAGTACCTATCTTCAAATCTGTTCCTCCGTATATATTCGATAGATTCCGACAACTCAAAAATAAGACATCTTGAGGACAAAAAACTTTTTTTTGTTCGAATTCCGGTTCTCTCGAGAAAAATCATTCCGGTGGTCGAAAACTATCTATCAAAACGACCTAACATCGAGCCCTCGACTTATCGGAAAGCAGCAATACGAGCAATCGATCTGGAATTTTAATACTCATCGGATGCTTAGATCAATGCGTCGAAATATCTATCGAGTAGCAGGCTGAGTTTTGTGTTATAAGATTATGGAAATAAAATTGCATAAATATTTGTGATGGAAGAAAAGAAAGCTAAAGTTATGGAGACTGACCATTACATAAAAATCCTCATTTCTTCTTGGAATGTCTCTACAAATACAGTTATTATTATTCATAAAATTTAAATATTTGATGGATAAATAAATTGTGAATTAAGATTTACAGTAAATACATTAATACTCAATCAGATAAAACCGGTAAAAGAAATACTTTTTTACGCAGTCAAAAGAATTCTATTGAAAAAATGGAATTTTGAAGACGATAATGTCCACAAACTTCCCAGGTAAAAAACCGATTGAAATCGATTATTTTTTTGATCAAAATTCATTTATAAGGGCGCTATTTCAATCAATTTTTAATCAAGAAATAATCCAATTTAATATGATTTTTTAACGTTGTTTTTTTTACATTGGTTGCTGTTTTCAACAGGGCAATTTATTTTCTTAGCGTAAAAAGTACATATTCTAATGCGTAAAGATTTGTTGAAATGAGCCGCTGTATGCCTGGGTAGTTTTCCCAGAGGAAAACAACAGATTACAGAAGTTCAACACTTTGAAACTACATGATACTTTATGAGCCTTTAAGACGCATAAAGTCTGTGATTTTCTCCTTTCAATAACGAACCTATATTGTCTAAAAAGCTTTTTTAAATTTCCATAACAATTATTCTATAAAACTCTATAATGGTGTAATTTTTGTAAATTCTTAAGATTATCAGTGAATATGGGCAACACAGGATGTTTTGGAAGAAAATCAAATTATATACGATTTAAGCAAAAAACCATCACTAACGAATTATTCTTTAAATTTACTTTAATTTGGCTTGATGATGAACAGAAAAAAAACTCAAGACTGAAACATTGTTTAAAAAAAATGAATCAACAGCTGATACAATTGGATGACAGTGATTTATGCGAAACATATATTAAGGAAAGACCTAATGACCACTTTAGTTTGATCGTCAGTCGCAAACTTGGTAATATTCTTGTACCAGAAATTGACGAGCTACCGCAGTTGGATTCCGTTTTTGTTTACGACTTTTTATCAAATGACATCTACAAATCATGGATGAATCAATGCCAAAAAGTAACTCATTGCCTTATAACTGAAGTTATTTCACTCTTTTGTCTATATTAAGATTGTCGACGATGTATTCATTGATCTAGATCAACTTGAGGGTGCTATTATAAATCGTATTCTATCTTTAAGAAAGGTTTGTAGATACAATTTTATTCTATTAATCTAATTTGGTTTGGCGCATTTTTAAAACACAGAAACACATGCGAATACTCAAAAGGAAACGAAAACGGACGTCTATACGTCTTCCTTGTTAAAATGTACGATAAGTTTAGTTCAATAGAAGAGCAGTCATCCTATTCCGCGATGTTGCACATTGCGGGAATCAATTATGCCCCCGGAACCAGTTCCATCCGATTCCAGAAATCCCAATCGTTGAACTAACTCGGCTTATTCGAAAACGATCGAGTTCTCTCAATTTTCGGAATCACCGGAATTCCGTTTCATTCTCACCCTCAGCATGCCTTGTGTAGTTACAGATAAATATCTAAAATAAGGGAGCGATTCCGGAACGGAATTTCGGGAATTAGATCGAAGCGGAATTAGACGGAATCGTACGGAATTCTTAGCAATTCTCATCAATTCCGTCCGATTCCAGAATTCCATCCGAATCCGGAATGGAGTGGAATCCGTCGGAATTACTAGGAATTAATGGTAATTCCGTCCGATTCCGCTTCGATCTAATTTCCAGAATTCCGTTCCGGAATCGTTCGCTGATTTTAGATATTAATCTTTCACTGCAGAAGGCATGCTGAGAGTGAAAATGAGACGGAGTTCCAGAATCGGATGGAACTGCTAGGAATTCCGTCCGATTTCGTCTAATTCCACTTCGATCTAATTCCCGGAATTCCGTTCCGTAATTGCTACCTTATTTTACATATTTATCTTTAATTGCAGAAGGCAAGCTAGGGGTGAGGATGAGACGGAATTCCGGAATCGGATGGAGTTCGGGAATCGCATCCAAGTCCAGAATCGGATGGAGTTCCGGAACGCATCCAATTCCGGAATCGGATGCAATTCCGGTAATTGCGAAAATTGAGGGAACTCGATCGTTTTCGAATAACCCGAGTTAGTTCGACAATTGGGAATTCCAGAATCGGATGGAACTGATTCCGGGGCGGATTTGATTCCAGCAATGTGCACCATCGCGGAATAGGATGTATTCTCCAATAGAAAGGATATAAAGTTTTCTTTGAGCGTGTTCATGACTGTTTGTATATCTTAGAAATACTCTTTAGTTTTCATTTGTATACGTACGTATATATGTAGATTGTAACCACTAACACTGAAATGACCAATATCAACGACGATTCAATAACAACTTCTCCTGAAAATACAGTTAGATCCGTCGTGAATACTAGTTCAAATTCAGTTCCGATCACTTCTGATCCATCGTACTATCTTATATGGCTAGATACAGATGCCAATAATGATGAACCAACTAAAAAGGAACTAAGATCTGTTATAAGATGTCAACTTTTGACGTTCGATAATGTCAATACTTGCGAGCAATATGTCTTCGGTAATCCCAATGCTCGATTCATAATTATTGTCTCATATGAACTTGCTTCCGTAATTACACCAAGAATTGTTTCTCTTCAACAGATCATCACTATTTTTGTCTATTCGAACAACAATACAGTAAATACTTATCGACCATGGACCGATCAATATCTTACCGTACGTGTTGCTTATGAATTCTCATTGACAGAAGAGAATTTTATATTTTTTTTTCCAGAAAGTTCAACCAATAGTGTCAGATTTATCAAAACTAAAAACTTTAGTTCAATACGAATTTTATAAATGTGGTTTCTATAGGACCGTAAGTTAATCTCAAATAACTTTTGGTAGCTCAATTCTTTTCCACTTGAAAATCTTAGGAATTCTTACGTCTAAATTTTTAAAAATTTTATTGTAACTTGTGATATTTATTCAATATGACATAGATTGGTGAAGAGGTGAGAATAGTAAAGATGACGATGAGAGTTTAATGTATTCAATTATGCCTTTTGTCGGATTCAGAGCGAGGATGGATGCTATTACAAAAGATTTTCAAGTGTTTAAATAAATGCAATAACTTTCAAATAAATATATTACAATAGTCTCCTAAAAGTTCTTGTTTTGATCGTTTGTCGATTGTATATTTTTAGGATAGTAATGCTTCTAAGAATGATATAATAATAGATATATTTAATCAAAAAGAAATGGCAACTAAAAATTTAAAAATTGAAAAAGGAAATTTTCTATGGTTCAGACTCTTTGTCGAAGTTCTTATCCATATGAAAGACAATGCACGAGCGCATCATGATCTAGTAGAAATATTGCGTATGAACTATCCTCAGTCGAACTTCGTTGCCGATTTTAATCAAAATTATACAGCTGATAAAGCGATTGAATGGCTTACACGCGATGACTCGTGCTTACTAAAAGAATTAAATAGAGCATTGAGACAACAACATTTAGATCATTTATTTGTATTTCGATACGTTATTAATGATATTCATCAACAACTTAAAACAGAACATGATAAAGAAATAAAAGACAAAGAAAAAACTCTCACTTTATATCGAAGTCAAGTCATATCTGAGTTCGAATTAAGCCAACTTCTTCAAGCAAATACAGGTGAACTTATAGCAATTAATAGTTTTATGTCAACATGGAGTGATCGAATGAAAGCTATTGATTTTCACAAAGAACAACATCATGTTGGTCTCAAACATATTTTATTTGAGATTGAAGTAGATTATACAAAAAAATCGCGCCCTTTCGCTCAAATATATGGAAAAGAACAAGATTTAACATTGTTTATGCTTGGATGTGTATTTCGTATTCGTTCAATTATGGAAGATCATACATTTCATTGTTACGTCATGAAAATTGAGTTATGTAGTGACGATGATTGTGATCTCAAAAATATATTTGATCACATGACAAAAGATTTCATTCAACCTGAAACAGATTTGATTACATTGGGTAGTTTATTACATAGAATGGGAGAACTAGACAAAGCTCGTAAATATTTCCAGTTACTTTTACATGAATTAGATGAAAACGATCCTGATCGTGCACATTGTTTTGATGGTTTAGGACATATCGAAAATGATCAGGGCAGATTTAGAGAAGCATTAAAATATTATCAACAAGCACTTAACCTGCGTATGAGCCATAACTCATCCCATACAAATCATTCGCTTGTCGCTCTTAGTCACATTCATATTGCTAATGACTATAAAGATATGGGAGATTACAATGAAGCATTGCAAAATGTGGAAAAAGCACGAACCTTTATTCGACAGCAAAATTTGCAAGAAGACCGAATAAAAGAGGCTGCCTGTCACATTATTATGGGATCTATTTTATATGAAAAAGCAAAGTGCATCGAAGCTCTTGATGAATTCCAACAAGCCCTGGACATAAATAAACAACAAGGAATTCCAGATGATCATCCAGATCGAGCATCGATCTTTCAAAATATGGGTCTATGTCATCTAACTTCCGGAACTATAATCCATAATCCTACTTTAGCACTTGATTATTGCGTACAAGCACTAATCATTCGATTGAATACATTGCCTCAGAATCATCGTTGCACAGGTATTACCTATCGATCGATAGGCTTAGCATATGAACAATTAAAGGAGTATCAAAGTGCCTTGACATTCTACAAAGAAGCTAATATCATTCATAAAGCATTGAATAAAACTTTTAATGAACTACAAAAGACAGAAAATGACATTAAACGAATACAAAAGTAATTTTTTCCACGTAAACATATTCAAATACTTTCGACTTTTGCTTATAGACACCTCTCAGATCCAATGTTGCGTCCAACGCATCAATTTAAAACAGTAAGAGTCCAATATAATCTATGTTATCTTTTAAGTTTATAAAACTATTTTCAGCAAAGTTCTCAAAATGAAGCACCTGCTGATATAGGTGCCATTAAGTTCAAAACTGAGAGGATATCACCGCAGCTATGTTCTACAGAAGTGCCAATACAAGTAGTCACTCGACGTATGATTTTACTCGGACGTTCAAATGAAGGTATGAAACGATTCGTGTATTAATTCTGCTTATCAATACTTTTTAGTAAAAAGTTCATTTGGAGATGCATTACTTGCACAAGATAATTATTTTATGATTAACCAAGGTTCATCTTCAGTAACATATACAAATGAAAGTAGTCATATCGTAGGCTTTCGAGACTTTTATGGAAGAAAACTAATGATCGTTGATACACCTGCTTTTGCTAATGAATATGGTTCAAACTCTATTATACGAACGAAAATTACACACTCACTAGAGCAAGCAGCGCCCGGGCCACATGCTTTCTTATTTGTGCTTGAATTTACCCCTGAATTGTCATTTTCAGAAGAAGACGATAAGAAACTGTGCGAATTTCTTATCAGCATATTTGGACCTACAATTTACCAATATATTGTCTTTGTATTTACTAATCTGGAGAAACTTCAAAGAGCTGGAATCGAAATTGATCGATATCTCAAACAACGTTGTAGTCAAACATTTATTAATTTAATGAAGAGATGTAAAAATAGATATATACCAATCGACAATCGAGCACCACCTAACGCTAAAGATGCTAGTTTTGCTGAACTCTTGCTTATTATCGATAGAATGCTCAATGAAAATCAAGGAAAAGAATACACATACCAATCGTCTTCGCTACAACAAACATTAAAATTCACAACACAAATGTAAAAGTTTAGCTAAATTATCGCGATATAAAATCATCAAAAAAAGTGTTTGATTTTGTTACTATAGACGAAACCTTTTTCAATCTAAAAAAACATCTAGTTTCAGTACTTCTGATCAATTGTGATTTGAGCAATTTATCTAAAAGTTTGTATCGGATACTGAATCACCATTACAATATTTATTCAATCTCTTTCACTGTGGTTTTACAGTTACTGTAATTAATTCCATTTTTATATTAAAGTAATCAGTAAGAATAAAAAAATAGCCTTTGAAAACGGTGGTGCGTTTTTTTCACAATAGTATTGGCATAGTATGACACAAGACCGCTATTTAAACTTAGTGAATAATTCGAAAAATACTGCAAAAATTATTTCGATATGAATTTCATAACTTTCTTAGTTTTTAAATAGAAAAGCATTTGCTGAGAAGAGTTAGGTTTTGCATTTTGCGCAGAGTTGGTCAAAATACTCGAAATATTCGTACTCGAGTACGATTTTAGTCGTACTCATACTCGAAAAAGTCCGTACTTGCCCAGCTCTGTTTTTTGCGTTCTTTAACACCGTAAATCTTCGAAATATAATTTTAGTCTAAATAACGGTCTTCTCCTAACTGCAGGCAAAGTTTTAAGGATTATCAAGTCCTGCGCAGTATTGAATTTACTTTTTATAATGGAATGATGTCAATTATAATATAATACTCAATTTTATTTTTATCACTCTCACAGGGAACAGAGATCAACCATTCATGATTCTACGGCATTATTAAGACACAACTCAAGTAGCTCGGATACTTCTGATAGGCACAATCTGGATAACGAAGTCACCAGCTGGAAGAAAACTGTAAGTGAAAAATGGCTTTGTCTGTATACAACGTATTGACATATACAGTTGAGATTTTTGCAAACGTCTCATTTAGATTCTTTATCATCAAATCAGTAGCTAAAACTGTCAAGATAACGGTCGAAGCTGATAGATCGATGTCAAGTTACATTCTACGTAGATTTTGCAAACACGAAAGACAAAATACCATTCCATAGTAATATATATCATGAAAATTGTTTTAGATTCGCGTTTTGTATCCAAAAATCAAAGGGGTTTTTCTAATACCATATTGATCAAAATTTTTTAGCCAAGCAAACTTTTTCTATCTTCAATATTTAAATAGCTCAATTAGCGACATTTACAGCTGTTTCATCAATTTTGTCACAAAGAAAGACAAAGTTGAACTTTCTAACAACGCTTGATCTCATTTCCATAAGTTTTTCAAATTCGCATCACGAGTAATAACAGTAAATACATGTTAGTTTTTTCGCGGTCTTCACCAAAGTTTGAAAAGTGGGTGTTGGGTGTAGATGTGGGTGTAGGTGTGGGTGTGTGGGTTAATGAAGAGAAGATCCGCATCCACACAGTCACAGTTACACCCACACCCTATCGATAAAGATTTTGAAAAAAATTTTGTCAAAGTCATTTTTTACTTGTTCTCTATGTAGAATTACTCTCTCGGAATTTTGTGAATATCTCTCTTATTGTGGAACTCACATATATATTCGAAGAAGATAGTGAGTGTAAGTTTTTAGTTCAAGTTTTCGCGGCTCTTCTCTCCCCTCCATTACAGACACTTAGCAACCGAAGCCCCAATTATAGACCTTAGCAATCGAGAATAATAGGCGTCAGATTCTCTAGAGGTTTTTTGAAAAATTGATCAAGTTATAATTTCGAAAGATGATCAACATCATTGTTTGTGAGTTGATTAATATATATAATAGTCCATAAGATCTTCTGTAGATATAATTAATATGTAAAACAGACGTATTTGCCAATTCATTCAATGATTATAATAATATGAATGTTAAATTAAGAAAAACGAATTAAAAGAAAATGAAAAATAGCGAGCGAATAGCAGCAATGCAAACAAAAAAACTTGTTAGCGCAGCCCCTTTAAAGCTGAAATGTGGAACTCATATATGCTCTCTAGCCTCATTAAACTAATACAAAATATGTAAAATGAGAAACCTCTCGTAGACTATAGTTGTTTTGTAGGATAATCGAAAAACAGAGTAAGAACCTTTCTAATTTCTGCATTTCGAACAGAAATTTTTTTTCTACGGGGGCCCTATTTTTATTTTGCATTGTTGCTATTCGCTCATTCTCTTACATTTTTTTAAATTCGTCTTTCGTAATTCAACATTCTTGTTATTATAATCATTGAATTAATTGACAAATAAATCTGTTTTACATATCCATGATATGTACAAGAGATCTTACGTACTATTATATATATTAATCAGCTCACAAACAATGATGTTGATTATCTTTCAAAATTATAACTTGTTCAATTTTTTGAAAAAAACTAGAACGTCTCACGCCTGTTATTCTTAATTGCTATAAGGTCTGTAATGGGGGGTGTCTGTAATGGAGAGAGGAGGAGCCACGAAAACTTGAACTTAAAACTTACACTCACTATTTTCTCCAAAAATATATATGAGTTCCACAAAATAGGGTGCCCCTAGAAAAAATAAAAAAATTCTGTTCGAAATGCAGACATTAGAAAGATTCTTGCTTTGATGTTCGATTATCGTGCAAAATAACTATAGTTTACAATAGATTTTTCACTTTACATATTTTGTATTAGTTTAATGGGGCTAGAGAACATATGTGAGTTCCACATTTCAACCTCAAAGGGGCTGCGCTAGTAGGCTTTTTTTTTTGATAGTTTGACTTGAAATTTTTTTTTTCAAAAGATAGTCTGTGTAATTCTCTACAAAACCCAATAAAAAATAGCTCTTCAAAACGATAAATTACAATCACCTGAAACCTCTTTCGTCAGAAGAAGAGAAATAATTAGTTTTATTTAAAAAATGTGTTTGTGACAGTGGATCTTTTTGGAGTTTAGTACTGCTGATCAAATGTGGCTTTTCAGTTATTTTTTTTTGAAGAGCTGTTTCTATTGTGCTCTGTAGAGAATTGCAGAGGCTATCTTTTTGAAAAAAAATTTCAAGTCAAATTATCAAAAAATAAGAGAGATATTCACAAAATTCCGAGGGAGTAATTCTATATAGAGGAAAAGTAAAAAAATGACTTTGACAAAATTTTTTTTTCAAAATCTGTATCGATGCAGTTCTCTCTTAGAGTGCATGCAAATCGAATACAATTTGTTTTGATTGATAGCTTAGATGCCATTCTTCAAAAAATATATTCAATATCTCTCCACGATTGAATATGATGAAGATCGAAAAAAAAATAAAAAGGGGGTCGGAACTTAAGAAACATCCTTTAGTAGTTGCTCGCATTCTAGAGTTATTCGCATTATACGCTCCCTTACCTATTTAATTCTAGCGCCTACAATAATATGAATCTTCTTCTTTTTGGTTCTCCCTAATTTAGTCTGATTTGTATATTTCAGCGTCGTTTATCAAGTGAAAAAGTTGATGTTGGATCAGCTCCCGTTTTCAATAGCGATCTTGTTGGTCTGTCTCTACAACCGTACAAGCATTACTTCGCATCTTGTGAACAAAGTAAATTATTTATTATATGTGTATTTGTTCTCATTTTTGTTTACAGATACTGTGAATAATATATCAGTGGTTTTGAAACCTATGTCAAGTGATATCTCCAATATCTTAATTGCATGTCTTGATGTCGATTCTTCATTAATGTCATCAGATTCATCGTACTTAGTGAAATTATTTGATGATGAATGTGTTTGTATCACTGATCTGCTATCTATAACTGATAGATATGTTTATTTCATTGTATCAAGTTCAGTTGGTAAATATATTGTTCCATTAATTTATCAACATCGATGTGTCGAACAAATATATATATATTGTCCAGATGATAATCAATCAGATCCTTCATGGACGACTCATTTTCCAAAAATTAAAGATTGTTGGATTGATTATAGTATACTTGTTTCTCAAGTATATAAAGATATCGAATCGATCCTTTCGCGATCATCACTCTGGTCAAACGAAGAATTAATTGATAGATGTTATACTCAAACTTTACTTAAACCATCGAATTGGTCGTCTGTTTCGTTAGATTTATCAAATGTGCAAAAATATTCAATCTCAAACAAACAAATTCGTATTGTTGTTTTGCATTGCGGCAATTATGCATTGTTTCATACAGACAGTCAACGTTTCCACCTTTCGGAATTTCTCGATGTCGTCAAATGTGTAGAATATCTTGAAACAACTGATATTAGATCTGTATTTTTGATTATTTCTGGCGAAATCAAGAGTATCATGCATGATCTGAGAAAAATTACGGTATTAAGACGAATTTATGCAATCTATTTATTTGTACCGTCTATTGATCAAGAAAAACTGGACAGGACTCTATGTAGTTATAAAGACATTGGCAGATTATTCGATAATCTCCAATTTCTACTCACGTGTTTAACTGCCGACATCAAATTTTACTTGGAACAACTACTTTATATGCCTATAGTATCGATATTTGCTTCACAAAATAAAATAGAAGATAATGGTGAATTATGTCTTACAGATAAACAAACAAAGTTTGCTGCGTTTCAGTTATTTGTAAATATTTTACAAGAAGCGCCTGCTTCTATTTTCCGCGACCAAAAACTGTGCGATCGTTGTTTCACTTTGGTAGAAAATGAATCAGACAGTGAAAATGCTCTAGAAATTCTAAAAGTTCAGACAAATAAAATTTTCGATTGGTTCATAAATGTTCCGTTCTTGTCTGTTATCATAAATAGTTTCTTACGAGAACAATTTCCTCAAAATCTTCTTGATATCCAACAACTGCTGAAGACTATTGATCAATGTTTTGCTGAATTGTCTCCGACGACTTCATCTGCTGTTGTCTATCGAGTTCAATTTTTATGCGACGAAGACTTAAAAACAATAACTGAAAATATTAAAGAACTGGTTGCTTTTCATACATATCTGTTGACTACAAAAGATTTATTGACGGCGAGAACAATTGCACGACAAGCTGCTGATCGTGGATTGATGGTTATCATATTTCAAATTG